GTAAAATAATATGGTCTTTAGATTTTTCTGTCTGACTTACTTTGCTTAGCATGATATTCTCAAGGTTCATCCATGTTGTTGCAAATGGCAGTATTTCATCTTTTCATATGATTGAGTAGTATTCTGTTGTATATATGTACCACATCTTCTTTATCTAATCATCTATCAAAGGTTGCTTCAGTTGTTCCATATCCTGGTCACCCTGAATAATGCTTCATTGAACATATATCTTTGTGAATAAATGTTTTCAAATGTTTCGTGTAGATACCTGGAAGATGGGTTGCTGTGTCATATGATAATCCTATTCTTAATTTTTTGAGGAACCTTCATACTGTTTTCCATAGTGGCTGTACCAGTTTACGTTCCCAACAGCATCATTTATTGAAGAGGGTTTCTTTTTCGCCACAACTTTTCCAACAGGTGTTATTACTTGTCTTGTTGATAATAGCCATTCTAACAAGTGTGATGTGGTATATCATTGTAGTTTTGATTTGCATTTCCTTAATTGCTAGTGAAGTTGAGCATCTTTTTATATATCTGTTGGCGATTCATATGTCTTCTTTTTTAAAAAATATATTTTATTGATTTTTTACAGAGGAAGAGGGAGGGATAGTTAGAAACATCGATGAGAGAGAAACATCGGTCAGCTGCCTCCTGCACACTCCCTACTGGGGATGTGCCCGCAACCAAGGTACATGCCCTTGACCGGAATCGAACCTGGGACCCTTGAGTCCACAGGCCGACGCTCTATCCACTGAGCCAAACCGGTTAGGGCCATATGTCTTCTTGGGAGAAGTATCTGTTCAGGTCCTCTGCCCATTTTTTAATTGGATTGTTTGTTTGGTGTTGAGTTGCATGAGTTCTTTATGTTTTTTATATTAACCCCCTGTTGGAGCTGTTGTTCACAAATATATTTTCCCATTCAATTGGTTTTGTTGTCAGTTTCTTTTGCTGTGCAAAGCTTTTTAGTTTGATATAGTCCCATTCATTTATTTTTACCTTTACTTCCTTTTCCTTTGGGGCCAGATTCATAAAATCTCCAAGCCCAAGGTCCGTAAGTTTAGAACCTATATTTTCTTCTATCTGATTTATTATAGTTTCATTCTTTTGCATGTGGCTTTGCAATGTTCCCAGCACCATTTATTGAAGAGACTTTCTTTTCTCCACCGTATGTTTTTGGCTTCTTTGTCAAAAATTATTTTCCCATATACACGTGGTTTTATTTCTGGCTCTCAATTCTGTTTCATTGGTCTGAGTGTCTGTTTTCATGCTTACTTTTTGATCATAGGAGATACAAAATAATATCTCCTTAGAAACTCCATGTTTAGGAGGTAAAAATTGCTAATCAGTTATTTCTTTTGCTCTTGTAATTTTAAGTATCTCTGGCTATCTGGAACTGATAAAAATAAGCACTATATGTAAATGTTTATATACATAATTTATTCATTTATTTAATTAATTTACTGATAACAGTAGAGTGATTATTCTTTCAGGTTGACTGTACTATATTATGTACTTATATTTTGTATACAAGAGCATTGCAAGGAAAACATGTTATTAAATAGTACAGAGCAAACAATATCCAGGATAAAGAAAAGTACTTACCCACTATTTTAAAAAAATGTATGGAAATTTGCCTACCTATATTGATTATAAAACGTATATTTGACACAAGTTAATAAAGTGGAATATTGTGTGTACCAGAAAATAAATAGGCATTGCATTAGTCTGTATTCCAAGTCAGAATTAATACTAATTGAAATGATTACCCCCAAATTTGAGTTAAATTATATCTTAATATCACCTTAATTTTTATTTTAGTGGCAGAATGTTTTCTTATGTTTCTATAAGATGATATGTAATATTACTAAAGATAAAGGAGTTAAATGTGTAATTAGTGAATTAAACTATGTATAGGACAATAAATAAATTATTTCAAAAATTGTTATCTCAGACAACTGAAGTTTATTTTTAAATATAATGAGGTAGCTATAAACATACCAAAAGGAAAGAAAAATAAGGATAGGAAAAAAAAGCTGAATTATAGTACTATTTTAAAAATGAATCTATTTGGTTAAGGAGCCTCTCTTGTTATATATGTCTAGTAGTACTCTTGGTTAGATCCCTTAATCTCTGCAGGTATAAGAGTGTTGCTGATGAGAATCTTAGCTCAAACTTTTAAAAAAATATATATTTTATTGATTTTTTACAGAGAGGAAGGGAGAGGGATAGAGAGTTAGAATCACCGATGAGAGAGAAACATCGATCAGCTGCCTCTTACACA